CAACAATCACTACCTCTTCTCCTATGGTTTTCGTGCACATGCACCAAGGACATACCTCTGATTTGATCGAAACAGAAGCGTTGACATAAGGAGGGACGAGAAAAGAGTGACCTGACGCATGGCACTTCACGAGGAATTCCATAGATATGTGCTTAAATTTCCACATAGTATACGAAACGATCAGACAGAAAGATAACCAGCAATAGGAAAATCATTGTACGGCTGTTTCATTCTCACCATAAGTTAACTGATTGTTTATGTTCGTCGCTTAGTGAGGAGGCTACCCTATCCTCTGCATAGCATTAACGTGCAAGTCAATGGATAGTGACCGGCGTTGTATAACTTAGTCACGATGGTCGGTACTGTCCACCGTGGCTCAGTGGTTCCAAGCACAACTGGTAGAAGTCGAACTCTACAAGGGACAGATAAAATGCGCGCCACTGAGGATTCGCGAAAGGATGAAACGACCGCATGGTGCTTTTCCAGGCGTGTGATGGCTGTCTGACTTGCTCCAGACGTGATGAATTTCTACCTAGACCACTCAACTCAGCCAACTACTCCTTTAAATAAATAAATAAATAGTTTATTCTCGAATTTTGCCCAACACACAGACTAAACTGTTTATAATACTAAAAAACGTTCGGTAACTTGGTCGCTTGGTGAGGAGGCTACCCTGTCCTCTGTACGCAGTAACATGCCGATTTGAGAAGCATTTCATTTTAGCGGACGCCCAAGACGACGCTGTGTGCGCATTGAGACCAGCAAACTGGCGAAACCAGCTGCTCTGAATGCCTATCAAAGTACGCTATCATGTGAGTTGAGTAAGCGCTCACCGAATGCAGTTGTAGCTCACTGGTCTCATCGTCACCAGTCCGTGCTAGTATCAGGCAACATGGACGTTGGGTCACTTCGCAGTCTCTGGAACTTATCGATGCTCGTCGACATATTCCGGCGGGAAGCGAACACAATGAAACTCGCAAACAGCTCCGGGAAAAACTCCGTGCTATCCTGAAGAGAGACCGCGAATTCTGGTGGTCAAATCGTGCATCAGAGATGGAGATGGCCGCTGCCCTTGGTAACCATCGTAAGCTATCCCGTCTGATACGGGAAACGGACAGCAGGAGACCTGGTATTAGTGAAACTATACGTAATGAGAGTGCACAGCCTATCCACAACTTGTCAAAACGCTTGGAGCGTTGGGCTGAGCACTTCGAAAGGCTATTTAATCGGTCGGAATTGTCAGGTTACTCGCCGGCCACTGATCGCCGCTCTCCCTGGGCTGTCCCGTTGGATCCGCCCTCTCGCTCAGAAGTCGAAAGTGATGAAGAATTGCCGAAAACATATGTTCGCTTACACAGACTTCTGAGATCGGACTGTTGAAGTTAAATAAAGCCGCGGAACCAGATGATCTTCCTTCAGCTCCTTCGAATTCGGGGGACCTGCTCTGGTTCATGATTTATACGAGTTACTAATGAAACTGTGGGAGCAGGAAACTGTCCCAACCCGACTGGAGTCACTCCGTCATAGTTCCAATTTCCAAACGAGCCTCATTATCGGAATGCGGCAACCATAGAGCAATCAGTCTGATCTCCATCACCTCCAAATTGCTTGCCTCTGTCATCTTTCACATATCAAGTGGTACTCGCAAAAGCCAGATTCGTGAAGAGCAAGCAGGGTTCCGTCGAGATCGAGGCTGCACTGACCACATCTTCACTTTGCGTCAGTTGTTGGAGCACCGTCACATATATTGGCGATTCACCGTTGTCGTGTTCCTTGGTATCAAAGATGCATTCGATTCGCTGGATAGACGTACACTTGGGGACTGTCTACATATGAAAGGTGGACCTGAGAAATACGTAAATATTATCCCATCATTATACGCGCGTAGCCCAGGCAGAGTGAGGGCTTACGGAAAGCTGTCGTCGCCCTTTAATATCTCCAGCGGTGTGCGACAAAGGATGTCCGCTGTCACCTTTCCTCTTCAACTTCGCTATTGACGAAGTCATGGAAATCGCGTTCAAAGGACATGACATAGAAGGTGTGGAGCTGCTACTAGAAGAACAACTTATTGACATGGAGTATGCTGACGACATTGCCCTAATCTGTTACAGCCTAAAAACGTGCCAAGCGGCATTGGACTGATTAACACTAGCTGTTCGTCACTTCGGGCTTTGCTTTACACCATCGAGGTGCAAAGCGTTCATCCAAGATTGGCCTGGACCGCCTCCTACGCTGACCATCAGTGACGACCACCTAGAAGTGGTTCAAAAATTCAACTACATGGGAAGTTGTATCAGTGCCCGTGGGATTGAAGATGGGATCACGTACCGTAAAGCAAGAGCTCGAGGCGCTTTTGCTAACCTTCGACATTTCTGGCGCCGGCGCGATATTACTCTCGCCCTGAAGGGCAGAGTGTACAACGCAGCGGTACGTTCGACCCTACTGTACGGTTATGAAACCTGGCCCTTTAGATCAGCGGACATAAAGAAGCTGGTTACCTTCGACCACCGGTGCCTTCGCAATTTAACTCACATCTGGTGGGAAAATCGCATGAGCAACGAGCGTGTTCGACGCCTTGCTTACGGCACAGGAAAAGAAACTGAACAGCTCAGCACCGTTAACTCACGCACCAGGCTCCGATGGCTCGGCCACGTGTTACGTATGCCAGTCCACCGACTCCCGCGACGTGCGTTGTTTGCGCGCCGGAGGTGTGGATAGAAGAAGAGGAGAGGTGGCCAAGCGACGACTTAGTTGAGAGGAATTAAGGCCCTCACTTCTGAGCTGGCCTCGGTTGGAGCGTCTCTTCTCCCTGGTTGGGGTCCGAAAGACGATGAACACGTTTGGTTGGATACACTTGTTGATATGGCTAGGAGCTGACCTCAGTGGCGTTCGTGCTGTGAGTTTCTTTGTCCCACCCCATCCCTCTTAGCCTCCCCTCCAACTACCATCTCATTATTTAACATTTTATAACTTTGCATAGTAAATTATTTTTTTTTTGCTGCATAGTAGCCGGCTGGTAGCTTACCGGAACGATGCCCATCCGTTACCGGTAGCTCCGCTGGCTTGCACCCGTTGCATTTTATTCCCTTTTTCTCTTATGTATTGCGGCACAGTAGTTGAGGTTTTTCCCACCTCTAGCTAACGTGTATAGTGTGTGCGTGTTTCTCATCCCTAGCGCTTTAAGGAATTTCGATCCACAAGGTGGTAGGGAACATGTCTAGCGTGAAATCATGACAATAATCCTATGGGAGTCATTTAGAACAGGCAACATTCAGCTTGGAAGATTTAGAACAACGTTTTTTGCTGTATAAAGCAATGCCCCTAAGAGCAAAATCATGTATAGGTCTCAGCGGATTCATGTTACTGAACAAAGGCGGGTGACAGCAAATCACCGGGCAAGCAACGTTCAGTCACTGTTAGGCTGACCTAATAACCCCATGTTTTATGGCCCATAAATGCATTAAAGAACATTTGGCTTGGCAGAGGCTGTATAGCACAGATAAATAACTACTCCAGGTACTGAACTGATTTACTACTTTGTTCTGACTCGCGTCAGAGAAAATAAAAATCAATAACGATGAGAAGAGAGAAGAACGGGGGCGAAGTCATGGGGGAAAGGAACCGAGAAAAAGCAGGATAACTAGAGGAAATGGCACATGGATTGAAGCAAAGGACTGGGTGATAGGATGTCAATGGAGTTTTGCGTGCTCGAGCTGGACACGATACCAGACGTGGTTCATCCCAAGGTCGCGAATCCAGGAAATTGGGTTGCCTGTCGAACACAATGCATAATATTCCACGATACCGATAGTCAGTAGTTTATGGAGTGTATAAACTGGTGGACAAGAAGACAGTGGAAGTGACTACCAAAAGGGATGGTCGGTCGTGATTTCTTTTCAATTCCTGCCACTTGCTGCTGCTGCTGTGGTGCATCACAAGTACCCAATGGAACACAGTGAAACTGGGAAGTCCATGTACACAAGTACTCACCGAGGCACTGTCGTGTCAGTTGGGTAATTGAGATCCGACACACTACAAATTTGCAGTTGGTTCAATAAAACAGCAAAAATAGGTGAAGTCAAGTGCTCGGCTCGTTTAGTGTCTTGTTCAACCCATACAATGCTGGGTTGAGGGGATAGAAAGAAGGGAGGATCCCATAACCACCTCCTTGCTGGAAACAAAAAGCAACTACCTTCTCGTTACCACTGTGATTTATCGCCTCACTTAGGGACACATGAAACCAGAAGCTGACAGCCGTACTGCACTGAGTGTCTGCTGCTAGGCGACCTAAACGCAACGAGTGTACTTGTGCCGAGATGGCATATGTGAAAGTGTAAATCGGTTTCACCGAAGCTCGTGACCTACGTGTATCATGCAAGAAGATCCAATTGATGCGGAGTAGCGGATGGCAAAACAACGTAATCCAATTCGTTATGGTTAAATACTGAACAGACAGAGCCAGTGAAGCATGCAACTGCACTGATGTATACCAATCCAGCGAAAGACAACAGTTACCATGTAGTAGTGAAAAAGAAGAATGATGCCCGTGCTATGTGAAAATATGTACAACACCTAGTTGTTAAGTCGGCCGGTGGCCGAGTGATCTGCGCGTTTGGTTTGCAACCATAAGGTCATCGGTTCGAATCCGCGTAGGGTTGGGCGTCCTCGCGGTATACTCAGCCCGCGAGCGACTGGTGTTGGTCGCGCGGCAGCGAAGCGCCGTTACGGCGTAAAGCTGACACATTATTTATTTCATTATTATGTTAATGGAAGGAACACGCACTGGTGGAACATCCGTCACACAGAAAACCAGCAACCAATTTTTCGTACCGGTCGGTGGGACAGACGCCACCAAGTGTAATCAACTCGCGGCAGTCGGGACGGGTGACATACAGGAAAGAGGGTGATAGCAAGGCACAGGTGTGACTGCTCAACCCTTTGTGTGAACATGTGGCACGCGGTCAGGTCTGATGAACTACCGTGAGTAATCAAAACTAAAAGACAGAAACAAGGGGGTGTTAAGAAATTCATCGGAAAAATGGAAGTACAGATGAACGCCATTTACACATGATCATAGGCATTTAGCGGTGATGTGAAAGACAGAATTGTCCGGATGTACAAAACAGAACACATCGTGTTTACAATCGTCTGGGATGAAACCGAGTCCCAAGGCGGCGGATGCCAGATGAGCGATGTAATGAAGAGGGCCGTCCTCGCGTGAAGCCTGCATTGGAAGAGTTTGAATGTTTAGCCAAAATGCCCGCTGGTACCAGCGAACGCTGGGTTGCCGATGCTGGCTGCAGAAGAGCGGGTCCACCAACGGGAGAGTTTTCTAACCGTTTCAGGGCAGATTCAATCTTCTGCATGAACAGCCTGCATCCTGCCGCATTCTTTTGCACCTTAGAGCCTAAGAAAGGGGGAATTATGGTGTAAAGTGCTCAGTGTTTCAAAAAGCATACTTCTGTCATATAAGACAAAAAGATTATCTATAAACCATGAGTCTAATCTGACAGCGGATGACACAGTAGATGAAATGTGGAACACTTCAGACAAGGCTACTGACGGAACAAACCAGAGTAAAATGAGCATCTGAACAAAACAGTTATAACGAGTTTGATTCGGCTGCACGCATAGTAGACAGGAAATGGCTGACAAATGCTAGACCCAACCAGTGAATGCTTGAACGTTGATAAAATGTTTATATTTTATACTAAAAAATGAGAAATAGCCGTTTATAGACAACATAGTAAAACGGATATGTGCACAACACCAGCAGGTAATGTTTTGAAAGCTAGATTTGAAAAGCAACATCAATTTATATCCCGATGGAACACAAAAAAGCGAAGTGCAGAGAAACAAGCGCAAGAATATAAAATGATACATTGGCGTGAACGACCATTACCAAACTGACTTGGTCACAAAGGTAACAGATGTGTTCTAGGACCACAAACACAAGTTAGAAAAGTACCCAAAACACAAGATCAGACTTACGACAGTTGTATTGTTTTGACGTGCTCCCAGGATTAACGCAACCGAGTTTTCCACGCATATCAAGATAATGAGCCGAGCCAGGCGAACAAGCCTGTTCGGTAAGACTTGGATTGGTGAACTGGCTGAAATAAACGCGAAATGTGAGGTGTACTCCACGAAGTGTGTTTAACAAGGGCGTACTGAAATTTCTCCAACAGAAATTAGACGCACTAGGACTTAAACAATGTATGGAAACCCAAAATCACCCAGCCGCTTGTTTCCATGGAGGGAGGACGCGTTGTACGATGACTGTTGAGAGAAATTTCCAAATCACAAGCAGGAAGAGGGAAGAAAAGGAATAATTCGGAGAGAACAGAGTCCAAAAAGAGGTTAACATGCAACAAGTGAGGACCATATAACGGTCCAAACTGGGATTGCTCTCGCTCAACCTGCCCAACACGATCTATATGTGCGTTACTTTTACGGAGAAATTCATATATTAAAATATACGGGTGGTGCAACGCGGCGCAGTATGACGTGCGTTTGCACTCGATGATCAAGACATATAATAGAGGTGAGTTAAAACAAAAGCATAGATAAAATTGCACTGTAAAACACAGCAAGCATACAATGGGAGGAAAATAGTGTCAGAAGGGAATGCAGCTTATAAAAACCAAATCCGCAGTTAGTGGCAATCGCAGTTGCTTCACAACGAGTAACATTAAGGAAGCATTGGCGACTCACTCTTTGTGGGGTTTCATTTGCAAAATAGGTAGGTCAGTTTCTTGAGTGCTTTCCGGACCATCAACTTTCTGTAGTCGAGCGGCTAACTCCGCCTCACGCAATTTCGTCTCTTCCATTATTCGTAAGCGTGTGGCCTCTTCATTTGCACGTTGTAACAAAGACAGTTCATCGTGAGTTGGCTTCGCGGGACGAGCAATGAGGGTGTGACCGTGGAATTTGAGTCCATTCAACCTGCACCATAAGAATAAGAATGCTCTTAGTAAAAACTGCTTCGAATTTAGAGGGACGCAAAAGCAGCTGCAGCTTAGAGTACTACAGGGAATATCGAGGAAGAAAATGATCGCTGCAAGGCTAGTTTGGTGTCACAAAAATCTAGTTCATATGATTGTTTACGAAAAGTAAGCGGTCGCCCATATAATTATGTCAACTGCCGAGATCGCCAGTCATCAGATAGTAAGAGAACCTGATACAGACGGCATACCAGTTAGACAAATTTGAGAAAACGGAGACAAATTGATGGAGGCACATGGTAGGATTCAGAAATGCAGCGCAGTATAACAAGAAATACAGTGACAGTAAACAAAAAACCCATAAAAACGTACGCCTTTAGAGCTTTTTTCGCTGTTTCCGATGTATCGTAAGCCACAAAGCAGTAGCCTACGGTTGATCCACGGGCGTCCCCTGTGCGGTGGACAGGAAAGTGGAAGTCGGTCAAATTTCCAAACTGTCTAATCAACTGTAGTACCGCATATTCGGTGATCATTGGGGGCAGACCGCCCAACCACATGCGCTGACAATCGCGCTCGATTATGGGGTCAGAATCCCCAAGTGTGTCGCTATCAAGATGGGCGCCAGATGTAGTAATATTCGTCTGGAATAAATAAGTGGAAGGTGAAGGCAGAAAGCTAGAATTATCAGTCAAGACAAGCAAAGTGCAAACGATAAACAGTGTAACCAAACAACAACTGAAACAAGCCCAGGAGACAGTCTTACGGGGTGAAAGATATGACTTTTGGATATGGAGTAGTGAACAAAGTAACCCGAGTTTGAGCACTTGTTTGGGGAGGGGAAATGTAGATATTCAATAAAACGAGAAATGAGTGAGTATTTGGTATCAAACTGAAGTGGATTCACAAGATAAAGCGGTAATTTCGTGTTGATTAAGAAATTTAGACTACAAGCTAGGTGAGGAGGAGTGAGCTGGTTCACGTGAAAATGGATGTTCACCAAAAAAACACTACCAGACGAGAGGTTCGAGAAGTTCTTGTAGCTGTGGAAGCTTCATTCGTTTTCCAGGAGTGACGATAAATAGGACAGACGAAAAAAGGAGGGCATCTAGAAGTTCGAGCCACATTTACGCCGCTCGGTGTCTATAGGGAAAATTTTTGTAGAAGCCATATTGATCGCGCAACAACAAAGTAAGAAGTTGTAAAACATCCCCACAAGTGCTACTGCACACCTACGTTGAGGTGCACTAAGAGTATTACATTATATACAGGTTAGCTATAGGTAGGAAACACAGTGCTGTGCCGCAATACATAAAAGAAAAATGGAATAAAATGCAACAGGTGCAAACCAGCTGAGCGATCGGTAACCGATGGGCATCGTTCCGGTAAGCTACCTGCCGGCTAATATACAGCAAAAAAATAATTCGCTATACAAGATTATAAAATCTTAATTAATGAGATCGTAGTTGGAGGAGAGGCTAAGAGGGATGGGGTGGGACAAAGAAACTAACAGCACGAACGCCACTGAGGTCGGCTCCTAGCCATATCAGCAAGGGTCTCCAACCAAACATGTTCATTGTCCTTCGGACCCCAACCAGGGAGCCGAGACGCTCCAGCCGAAGCCAGCTCAGAAGTGAGGGCCTTAATTCCTCTCAACTAAGTCGTCGCTTGGCCACCTCTCCTCTTCTTCTATCCACACCCCCGGCGCGCAAACAACGTACGTCGCGGGAGTCGGTGGACTGGCATACGTAACACGTGGTCGAGCCAACGGAGCCTGGTGCGTGAGTTAACGGTGCTGAGCCGTTCAGTTCCCTTTCCTGTGCCGTAAACAAGGCGTCAAACATGCTCGTTGCTCACGCGGTGTTCCCACCAGATGTGTGCTAAATTGCGAAGGCATCGGTGTTCGAACGTAACTAGCTTCTATGTCCGCTGATCTAAGGAGCCACGTTTCACAACCGTACAGTAGGGTCGAACGTACCACTGCATTGTACACTCTGCCCTTCAGGGCGAGAGTGATGTCACGCCGGCGCCAGAAATGTCGAAGGTTAGCAAAAGCGCCTCGAGCTTTTGCTTACGGTTCGTGATCTCATCTCCAATCCCACGGGCGCTGATACAACATCCCATGTAGTTGAATTTTTGAACCACCTCTAGCTGGTCGTCACCAATGGTCAGCGTAGAAGGCGGTCCAGGCCAATCTTGGAGGATCGCTTTGCACCTCGATGGTGTAAAGCAAAGCCCGAAGTGACGAACAGCTAGTATTAATCAGTCCAATGCCGCTTGGCACGTCTGTGGGCTGTCACAGATTAGGGCAATGTCGTCAGCATACTCCAAGTCAAGAAGTCGTTCTTCTAATAGCAGATCCACACCTTCTATTTCGTGTCCTGTGAACGCGATTTCCATGACTTCGTCAACAGCGAAGTTGAAGAGGAAAGGTGACAGCGGACATCCTTGTCGCACACCGCTGGAAATAGTAAAGGGCGACGACAGCTTGCTGTAAACCCTCACTTTGACTGAGCTACGCGCGTAAAATGATGGGATAATATTTACGTATTTCTCAGGTCCAACTTTCATGTGTAGACAGTCCCCAAGTGTACGTCTATCTAGCGAATCGAGTGCATCTTTCATACCAAGGAACACGACAACAGTGGGCCGCCAATATATGTGACGGTGCTCCAACAAGTGATGCAAAGTGAAGATGTGGTCAGTGCAGCCTCGATCTCGACGGAACCCTGCTTGCTCTTCACGAATCTGGCTTTTGCGAGTACCACTTAATATGTGAAAGATGACAGAGACAAGCAATTTGGAGGTGATGGAGATCAGACTGATTCCCTTATGGCTGCCGCATTCCGATCGTGAGACTCCCTTGAAAATTGGTACTATGACGGAGTGACTCCAGTCGGGTTGGGACAGTTTCCTGCTCCCACAGTTTCATTAGTAACTCGTATAAATAATGAACCAGAGCAGGTCCCCCGAATTCGAAGGGGCTGAAGGAAGATCATCTGGTTCCGCGGCTTTATTTAACTCCAACAGTCCGATCTCACTTTCGACTTCTGAGCGAGAGGGCGGATCCAACGGGACAGCCCAGGGAGAGCGGCGATCAGTGGCCGGCGAGTAATCTGACAATTCCATCCGATTAAAGTGCTTTTCGAAGTACTCAGCCTAACGCTCCAAGCGTTTTGACAAGTTGTGGATAGGCTGTGCACTCTCATTACGTATAGTTTCACTAACACCAGGTCTCCTGCTGTCCGTTTCCCGTATCTGACGGGATAGCTTACGATGGTTACCAAGGGCAGCGGCTAAGAGCAAATCTTGCTGCATCTGGAGTCAGTCAGAACGGTAACAAATCAAAAACAGAACAAACCGACGTCCTAACACCAGGAGAACGCTACGAGACCGCAGATGGATGAGCGGCAGACAGCAACACCGAGGAATCGCTGGATAAGGCTTCGAAACAAAGCGCGCCTCACAACCTCCAGGAAGATGTCCACACATATGAGTGAAAATGTTGCTAGATGCTCGTTGCAACAATAAACAGCTCTGCATTTTTTGGGTTCCTGACCAGCCATAGACGGACATGAAGAAGAGATGGCTAGAGTTGTCTGAGGAGGGAAATGTGCGGAGCTTCCAGGAGAAATTCGGTGTGGTGACTGAGGAGGTCGGAATGAAGACCGACCATGGGAAGATGATGACCATTAGAGTCACTATAAAAGCAGGGCGAATGTGGTGCTGGAAGCGTCTCCGTCAATTTCGATCAGGTTATCGCTAAGGTGGCGTTGATCGCCAGGTTCGACGACCGGCAGAATGTAATGCGGCAATTCAAAGTGGCTTAACTTGTGGTAGGGGCGAATCCCTTTACTTTCGTGATCCAGGGCTGGACGGACCACGCATGGCCCAGACGGAATGTGGCATGCAGACAGCAGTTGCATTTGGACTAGTTCCTAGACAGTCCCTCAGAGGCGGTTGCGGAACAAGTTTGGAATGCGAAAGCCACCCGCAAATTGCACGATGAGGAGCCTGCCTAGGTGCCTCGTGAGCGCTGAATAACAGGGGGATTGAAGCAATGGTGGATGTAAACGGAACGATGGAACGTTCTTGGTTTGATACGGGTGCCGTCATGTCCCCGATAAGTCATCGAGGTGGTGAGAGACTTCAATCTTGCTAACTGGTAGTGAGGGCCGTTGGTGGTTAGGCAGTACATATAAATGGTATGACAGAGCACATCGTTTGAATTGGGAAATAGAAGCTGAGTTACGCTTCACCATGTAGGCCGACACGCAGCAATCTTGGGAGAGGATTTGGTCAAGTCGAATAGGGTTATCATCGACCTGAAACTAGTGAAGCTGTTGACTGAATGCGGAGCTTTACTACTCAGTAGCCGTGGATGAAGTGTTTTCTCGCAATCGGTCACTGCCGTGTTACACATGAGCCCAATCTTGCTGTCGCTCATCAGCAAGTACCAATTCGTAGTTACGGACGACGGAAACCTGTATGCATCGAGCGCACAATTCCGCTGACTCGACACGGATATGGGCCACATGGTCCTCGAAGGAGATCAATTCCTTTGGAGGCTGAAGTGAAGAAGCAGTTGCAGCAGATGCTGGATGCTGATCTGGCCGAAGAGGCACACAGCTCATACAATTCTCCAGTCGTTTTGGTAAAGAAGCCAAATGGGTAGTACCGCTTCTGCGTGGACCTCAGAAGGCTGAAAGAAATTTCGTTGAGCCGTTTCGTCCCGGTAGCATCAGTCGCACACATCTTCGAGAAACCGCAGCAGTCAGAAATATTTATGGTATTGGGTCTGGCAATTAGAAGAGAAAAACGTGAAAAGACAGTGTTTAGAGTTGAGGAGAAGCAGTAGCAACTTAAAAGGATGCCAGTTGGCTTGTTTGGTACCCTATTCACTTTCCGTCGTTTGATGCTGCGCCTGCTGGATGGTTTAGAAGTGGCGGCTTCCGCGTAGTGTATAGTCAATCGGAGATAGAGCACTATTGTCGTCAGGAAGCAAGGTTACAACGAATTCCGTACTCATTAAAATGGATAAATTAGCATAAATCTCAATTGGGGAAACCTCTGTGACTGCTTGGTCACAAAGTGCGTCAAGGTGAGCTCAATCCGAGCCGGAGAACATGTTGGTAATTTGGGACAGCCCAATTCCCACCTAAGAAGGCAGCCGTAGAAGATTTTTGGACCGCGCAGGATACTAAAGTAAGTTCCTCATCAATCTTGACAACTCGGTGTCACCACTGTAAGAGAAGTCGGGAAGAGAATAAACCTGAGAAGCAAAAACCCAGTGAGCGTTTGCTAGTAATCAGAAGGAAATGGAGAGTAAGAAACGGACACTGCATTTTCCGATCACCATAGAAACGTTCCCTGTAGTCGTGCAGACACAAGCGACATCGGAATTGGAGGAGTACTAAAGGGAAGCTGGTGGATGAATGAATATGACGGCATAAGTTTCCAACCGTCAGAACGTAACTTTGTGACAGTAGAGCAACGCTGTCCCGCAATCGTCTTGGTATTGGACAAATGGTAACAGTACTGGGTGGGTTAACGGTTTTACGTCGAAACAGATTATACAAACCGTCAAAATGGGTCAGGTCCCATGGAGACCTTAGCTAGACTGTCCGCAACGACTAACAAGTAACTTGCTATTACGCACTGAAGATGGAACCTCGACTGCTGGCGGAACATCTGCAATCAAATAATAACAATCATCATCATCATCAACAGGAGTACATCAGCCATTTGAACTAATGCCTTGCGACCATACAGCCACAACCACCTAGGGAACGAAGAGTAGTAAGAAGGGGCAGACAGTCAGGGTCAAGGCGCCTACATCTTGTCAACAATATTCCGTCACAAACAACTGGATATCATGTATAGATAAGGCAGCATCAGCGAGACAGCTTTCTTGCGGCTTTCATTGCCTCGTGTCATAATCAGACACTATCCCGCAGATAACTCAGCACCAAACACACTTGAAACAGGCAGTCCGACTAAGAAACGACAGCAGGACACGACTGCCCTGTAACGACTCGAGCCAAGCACAAAGCGGGTCACGTGGACTCCAGCCTGGAAGACGGGACGGAACGAGGGCATCAAGTTTGGTCGTCGGTGGCTTCAATTCTCGCTGTTAAGCAACTTTTAGCCCACCCGGGTCTTGCGCCTTCCTGCAAGTAAATCGCTCGGCTCGGAGAATCAAGTGAGACTTCAACTGTCAACTCTAATTAGATTTATTGCAACCCGCAGGGGGAAGTTGGTGACAAGGCCCTGTGCCACCAGGGTACTACTTCACGATAAACCAAATACTAGGGAAAGAGAATGAAACAGCCGACTTTTTATCCGTATGACGAATGGAAATGGTTTGAGGGGCATTGCTTTCGATGTCAGTAGTTTAACACTAGAACAGCATCCAGGAAAGTTGGCGATTGAACAACGTAATGAGAGGCTACCGAACGGCATGAATAATAGATCAAGCAACGGTAACCAAGGCGAACAATTTGGGACGTTTGTGAGGAAGTGGGGAAAAACTACGCCAACGAAGCCGGAATTCTGATGCAGACACAAAGGCGATGCGTTAGGCCGATGCCGGACATTCCGCCGAAGTTGAGAAGAAAGTTGGTGGTCCCTTGTCACAAAATGCCACCTACTCGGTGCACCAGGGCATAACATTTGCTGAGAAAACAAGCTTATTCGTAGGGAATGGAAAATGATGTCGATAAGTACGCACTGTCGTGTCAGAAGTATCAGTTCTTGAAGGGTGGCAATCGGAACATCACACTGTATGTTCTCAATCTCAGTGCGTTGTGGTCAAGCAACGTGATATGGGATAATCAGTACATAATAGTGATGATCGAGCATTACATGCCCTGGATTGAAGTTGCTGCAATTCCGGATCAGCAAGCTGGTAGCAAGCTACGGAACTCCGAAGGCTATACTGATAGACCATGACCCATGTTGTGAGAGCGATGAATTCCGAACATGTCTAGAGAAAGTTAGGGACGAAACACACACAGGCGAATGGGCTGACGGAGAGGAACAACAGGAAGATGAAATAATGGCTAGCGACGTAGGGATGAGACTGGAAATAATCTTAGCCGCTATCTTTGCTCGCTCACGAGCGTCCAAGCACAGTTTCAGTTAACACATGACCTGTCCTGTGGTTCTGGAGATGGAAGTGCGGTCAAGCTGTAGAATACATACAAAAGAAGTAATGGATAGCAGGAAGGCAGCCAACTGTAACCTGTATGCGACCCAGGCGCGGAGGATGGAAAAAATCAGAGCCAACAATGGGAAACTGGTGCGTGCACATGTGGCCTACGGGAAAAGAAACCCATACCGAAGTGGAAACTGTGGTATGAGGTGGACAACCGGCGAGATCAAGTGAATACAATCGCCCGGCAGGGAAATTCACGGCGAGAATATGTCAGTGAATAATGGAAATAATGCTAATAATCGCCAGCTGTATGATATAAAGGCGCTTCGCTGCCACGCAACCATCAGACACGCGAGGGCTGAGTATACCGCAAGGATACCCACTCCTATGCAGGTTGGAACCAATGACCTTATGGTTGCAAAGCAGTCGAGCAGACCACTCGAGCACCGGACTGATTAGGGGCACAAATTGGAAAAGGAAATCACTTCACACAATAAACAAGTCCGAAGGTTGAGAATACTCTGTGCAAAAGCAACGGGAGAGAACACTTCGGGGAGGTGGAGAGGAGTTTGACGAGACAGTAGCACAGGACTAATAAACCAACCTAATAGTAACCAACCCAAAACGGACCAAACCGACGTCCTAACACAAGAACAACGCTTCGAGACCGCAGATGGATATGCGCCAGACAGAAACACCGAAGAAGCCTTTGATGAGGCTTCGAACAAGTAAGCACTAAGCAAACTCCAATAAAATATTCGCAGATGAGTGGAGATGTTGATGATCAAACAATGCATGTGGTGAACGCTCACTGACACAGTAAGTAACTCCATTTACACTTCTTGGGCATTCACGACTAGAGAGCCGGTCGTTTCGGATCGGGAACAAATGAGTCCGATAAAAGTGGCACATTTTCATCTGCTCCAGATGTGGCAACAGCAAGAGAAACGACAGAATTCTAGGGTTAGTTAGGCTGCTTTTAAATAAATGTGGGTTAAACTGAGATAATGCATCATTATCCTTCATAATTATACACCTAAGCTAGTGGTAGAAAACTCCTCAGCTACAGTGCCGCAAAACATAAAAGAGAGGAAAAATACTACAGCAGATGCACGCCAGCTGAGCTACCAGTAGTGGATTGGCATCATTCCGAAAAGTTACAAGGCGGCTAATATAAGTAAAAGAAAAATTTAGTATGCAAAATTTGTATAATGAGCGCAAACAACGCACGTCGCGGGAGTCACTATGTTGGCAAGTGCAACAGGTGGCCCAGCCATGGGAGCTTGGTGCGTGAAATACGGTGCTGAGCGGTTCATTTCCTTTTCCTGTGGCATAAACAAGGCGTCGAAGACGTTAGTTGCTCACGCGGTGTTCCCACCAGATGTGAGCCAAACTGCGAAGACACAGGTGGTCGAATGCAACTAGCTTCCTGCTGTCAGCTGATCTAATGGACCAGGTTGAACAGCCATAAAGAAGAATTGAAAGTACGGCTGCATTGTACACTCTACCCTTCAGAGCGAGTGTGATGTCGCGCCGGCGCCATAAGTGGCGAAGGCTAGCAAAAGCAAATCGTGCTTTTGCTATACGGTTTATGATCTCGTCTGCGATCCCAAGGTCGCTGATACAACTACCCAAGTAGCTGAAGTTCTGAACGACTTACAGCTGATACCCGCAGAGGGTCAGTGCAGGAGGCAATACCTGCCAATCTTGGAGGAAAGCTATGCATTTCCAGGGTGAAAAGCATAGCCCGAAACGGCTAACAGCCAGCGCTAATCTGTCCAGTGCAGCTTGCCACGTTTGGGAGCTGTCACAGATTAGGGCAATGTCGTCAGCATACTCCAAGTCAAGAAATCGTTCGCCTGGAAACAGCTTCACTTTGTAAGTAGTGCTCTGTTAAAACGATTACCATGACTTCGTCAATAGCGAAGTTGAAGAGGAAAGGTGACAGCGCGCATCCTTGTCTCACACCGCTGGAGATATCGAAGGGCGGTGAAAACTTGCTGTAAGTCCTTACTCTGTCCGAGATACGCGCATACCAATCATGAGTAGACAGACCGAAAGCGCACGTCGATCAACCTCTGATATCGAGGAACACGACAACGGTGAACCGATATTATATGTGACCGTGCGCAAACGAGTGACGCAAAGTGAAGATGTGATCGATGCAGCCTCAATCTCGACGAAACCCTGCTTGCTCTTCACGAATCTGGCTTTTATGAGTACCACTTAATATATGATAGAAGCAATCAATTTGGAGGCCATGGAGACCAGACTTATTCCTTGATAGCTGTCGCATTCCGATAGTGAGGCTCCCTTGAAAATTGGAACTATGACGGAGTGACTCCAGTCGGTTGGGACAGTTTCCTGCTCCCACAGTTTCATTAGTAACTCGTATAAATCATGAACCAGAGCAGGTCCCCCGAATTCGAAGGAGCTGAAGGAAGATCATCTGGTTCCGCGGCTTTATTTAACTTCAACAGTCCGATCTCACTTTCGACTTCTGAGCGAGAGGGCGGATCCAACGGGACAGCCCAGGGAGAGCGGCGATCAGTGGCCGGCGAGTAATCTGACAATTCCATCCGATTAAAGTGCTTTTCGAAGTACTCAGCCCAACGCTCCAAGCGTTTTGACAAGTTGTGGATAGGCTGTGCACTCTCATTACGTATAGTTTCACTAAGACCAGGTCTCCTGCTGTCAGTTTCCCGTATCAGACGGGATAGCTTACGATGGTTACCAAGGACAGCGGCCACTTTCATCTCCGAAGTACGATGAGCCCACCAATATTCGCGGTCTCTCTTCAGGCTAGCACGGAGTATTGCCCGGAGGATTTTGCGAGTCACACTGTGTTCACTCCCAACCGGAATGTGCCAGCGAGCATCGATAAGTTAGTTCCAATGACTGCGAAGAGACCCAATGTCCGTGTGGGCTATTAGATTTGCCACATGTGGATTTGGCTGCGGTTAGTAAGATCTGATGAACACGTGATTAAGTGTGCGCTTACTCAACTCGCAAGTAAGCGTACTTTTTTACGCATTCAGAACAGTTGGATTCCACAGTTGGCTGGTGTCAATACGCTCACGGTGTCATCGTGGGAGTGCGACAAAACACACCCACAAATCAGCACAGATAAGTACATGGTCAGCGCCCGTACATGTGCCCCAAATCGAACGACAGTCCTGAACGCAGCCTCTCCAGCGGAAACTGATCGCAATGTGATGGATTTGCGTCAAAGGCTGGTGGGCGCCATGTCAACCTCCGGCGAATGCTGTGTCGGAAGTTAGTGCTCGCAAGAAATAAGCGAGTATTTTCACACAAATGGAGTAACCGCTCACCGGTATCAATACGGAAGCCTCACCGCGTTGGCCATCCAGATGTAGTTCATCAGTGGACAATATTCCAACTTGAGCGTTTAGATCCCCAGCCAGCACTATCATGCCCGTGCTTCCTCTATGAAGAAGATGCTCGTTGAGTTAGCGATAGAAGTCTTCAACAACAGCAGTACATCAACCGTTTGAACTGATGCTTCGCTGCCATACAACCACGATGACCTATGAAATAAAGATTAATAAGAGGGAGAGAAGAGGGACTTACCTGAAAACCTTAATGCCCTAAGCAAACATTCAGGGCCAAGCCGCCTACACCGTGTGTAAACAATATATCGTCACAAACAGCTGGCTATCGGTGAGACAGCTTCCTTGCGGCTTTCACTGCCACGCGTCATAATCAGCCATTACCGCGCAGACAACTCAGCACCAAACACACTTTAAACAGACAATCCGATTAGGAGACGGCAGCAGACGCGCCACTGGCGTCTACTGCGAGCCATGTCCTGAAAAGTCTCGAGCCAAGCACAAGACCAGTCACGTGGACTCCAACACGGAAGGCGAGACGGACCAACGGCACCCAGTTTGGTCGTCCGTGACTTCATTTCCCGCTGCAAAGTCAACTTCTGTCCACCTCGAGTCTTGCGCCACCCTACACCTGGCAGACTAAACAAGGCCCTCCTAGGTAAGCGGTGACCAGGCATACGTAGCACGTACCCGAGCCAACGCAACTTATTCAGTGCTATCTGTTGTTCTAGGGAGCTAGCATGATCATCACCACCTAGTACTCGCCTACGCACATCATCGTTGCGGACACTCTTGTGCCATCCGACACCAGCAATGCTTCGCAGACAACGATGATCAAAGACTTGAAGGCGCCTCAGATCTTCAGACCGAAGGGGCCAAGTCTCACTACCATACAGCAGAACGGCCCTCACTGTGGCCTTGTATACACGGCCTCAGACGGAGAGAAATTCCCTTCTGTCGCCAAAAATGCCGCAGGTTCAAGAAGGTAGCTCTGCCTTTTGCAATGCGTGAGCTGACGTCCGTTTCTATGCGCCCATCACTGCTGATGCAGCTGCCGAGATAAGTGAATTGATCAACCACATCGAGTTCCTCGTTAGCAAGGGTCAAGGGGTCATCAAGTGGCTGGCGGTCCTGCAGCAACACTTTGCACTTTGAAGGTGCGAAGTGCATACCAAATAATGGGACTACTCTACACCAGTTATCCAGGGTTGATAGTACCGCCGCAACATCGTCGAAAAGCAAAACGATATCGTCCGCATAATCTAGATCAACTAACCTTTCACCAGGCAGCACTTCAACGCCTACATCGAGAGATTCCGTAAAGGAACGCTCCATGATAGAATCCACGACGAAATTGAACAAAAATGGGGAAATCGGACAACCCTGACGAACGCCACTTGTGGTCGGAAAGCTATCCGATAGGACACCATAGACCCTGACGCGGCCAGTAGTGTTCGAGTATAGAGCACGAAAAATGTTCACATATTTCGTGGGAACATCTTTCCGCGCAAGTATTTTGAACAGAATGCATCGATCGACTGAATCGAACGCATTCTTGAAATCGAGGAACACAGTTATTGTCGGTCTGCGGTATGCGTGGCGCTGCTCTAGCATCTCACGCGAAGTGAATTTATATGGTTTATACAGCCACGTCCTGAGCGGAAACCGGTCTGCTCTTCCCTAATCCAAGATTCCCGTTCCACAGGGAGGCGACGAACGAGAATCGAGGCCAGTAATTTTGTCACGACTGGCGTTAGGCTAACCCTCATGTAGTTAGAACAGTCTGTGCGACTGCCCTTCTTGTATACTGCCACTATAATCGATTGGTTCCAATCAGCCGGGACACTCTTCCTTCCAGATACGTTCGAATAGGGAGGTCAGTGCTTTACAGAGGACCTCACCTCCATCCTTAAAAAGTGTAGGTGGGAGGGAATCCGAGCCAGCGGCACAAAAACGACTGAGGGCTGCGATCGCGTTTCGGACCTCGGCCTCCGACGGAGGCTCTAAACTAATCGTCCATGTCTCGTCCTGCATCACGTGAGTAGGAAGAGGTCCAGGAGCAGGGGGCCAGCTGAAGAGATCTTGAACGTGTTCCGCCCAACGAGCCATACGGCGCTCCTTATTGTGTATCAGTGCATCCACGCTGCCTCTGATTGTGTCACTGACGCCTGGTTTTCTGGGATCAGTGATGCGGATTAGTTGGAAGAGCTTGCGGTAAATGCCTACTGCTCCTGCCTCCCCCATTTCTTAAATAAAGAAATAAATATTTTATTCTCGACAAAGCGAGGCACGCCTTTTGGTCATGCTCAGCATATTGCAATATTGTACATGATAGCATGATTAGCAGCACCAAGCGCGGGAGTAGTACTGTTGGAGACAGTAGTGTGGGCACATATGGTCTAAAGGTTGTACGAAGTCTATGTCCACCGAATGCGAGATGTAGAGATAATAATCAGATCATTAATGTGGAGCATGCTGATGAGCAACTAGTCCGATTAAGTTGTGTACACAGTGCGGGTCAGGTGAGTGAAGCATGAGGAGAAAGCTGCTAAAATATTTAAGAATAGTGGCATGTCACTAATCAAATATGTAGGCGTGTCCGTGTGAGAGCAGATATGTGCACAGAATTTGTACATGTGGTATCGGTCAACTTGCCAATGTGTGTTAGGGGCGGTGAATTTATTGAGTGGCGAGTCACACCCGCTACGTCGCAGTGCTGTTAAACAGACATTTGTGGCTTTTTGTAGGAAAAACGCTTGCCAGACAAAGACCCACCACGCTCGACTGGTCCACCAGGCTTCCTTGTCAACAAGTAGGCTCCACTTTAGTTCGCGCCTAATAGCCCGTCTGGTCACATTGTTTTCAGAACCAGCCGGGAGGTGTCTTCTAGCTTCCAAAAGGTTCACCGACCTCTCGGATATCCAGTGACTGGTGCGGTGACGACTGACAGTGCCACAAACAGATGCTCCTGCGTCCTGCATGGCGGCCGAGATTCTATTCCACTGAAGGTCACTGACATTAGAACAAGACAGCGGAAGTTCGGTATGCAGTGCGTCTTGTTAGGCTTGCCTGACCGATGGCTGAGACAATTTTTCCAAATCCATTCGTAGGGGACACTTGGTGCGCCTCCCGGTGAAGTTCAGGGAGAAACGACAGCGTACCAAGGCATGATCAGAATCGACACAGGTACTCCAGTATGAGCAGCAAACCTGAATGGAACCACGCCATCTGTAACTTATGGCAATGTGGTCAATTTGGGTCCACCGCTGGCCAGCTACAGGAGGACGCCAAGTGGCACTTCCGCGCCCACTGTGTCTGAAAGCAGTGCCACTAAGAAACAACTGGTGCTCCGTACACGGTTGCAGCAGACGCTCACTGTCGCCAGTCCGTTCGGAGTTAAGCGTATAAGTACCACCTAGCTGAGCTTCTAAAGAGCTCAGACGCCCAACTTGTGCATTCATATCCCCCGCAAGTACTATAATATCTGAACTAGTAGCACTGCGTAGTAGCGCGTTCAGTTCGTGATAGCAGATGTCCTGGACAGCATTAGAACTGCAGTCGGTGGCAGCATTAGCGGAAATTACGAACAAACAACTTGTACTACTTCGTGAATCCACCTTAGCAGTTGTCGTCAAACGGGCTGCACATAAACGGCTGTTCACCTGAATCCAATCAACCAACGATGGCTCAGCCTAGCAGCTTAGAAGGATTCCTATACCAGCTTGACCCGTGAGTGCTGCATCGACTTCTCCGGATGCGTGCAACCAATAGCGAGAGAATAAGCCGGGTGCAGTTAATTCCATAACCCCGTTAGGTTCATTACTCCTAGTTTCGGACAAACAACGCCCATCAATACCCAATGTGTCCAAGGTGTGTGCGAGTGAAGCCTGTTGACCTGTTTGTCTTAGAGTGCGAACGTTGAATGTCGCCGTAGAAACGGGATAGTGTGACATTATAAGAGAATTTTGCCGATAGGCGTCAGATGGATGCTATGGGATGGTGGCTGCAGATGGTTCTACTCCAGTGGCACTTCGATTGCTGTCAATTAAGCCGGGAATTATAGAAGGAAGGTTAGTAATGGAGTCGGAATGGGAATAAGAGAAACAGGTGGAAAAAAGAAGGGAGACGCCAGCAGTGGCATGTTTACGCTTATCCGCCCTGCTGTATGCAGCAGACAAGGCGACCCTTGAGAACCCGCGCGACGGCCAATGCAGGATGTAGTTTATGACTGAAGAAAATGTCATCGCTGTATGTGGGATGAGATACTGCCAGGGCGCCCAGACCTAGACAGGAGGACGATTAGGGTCCTCATCTAAGGCCTTTGGCTCAAAAGCCTGTCCGCAAGGTAGCGGGGAGATGGCAATGATTTACTTTTAAATGGACGCCATCCCATTTCACACCCCCAACCTGGAGCACCAGGAGACTGAGTTCGTCTGACCTCACACCATTGACCAAGCTGGTAGGATTATCTCTCAAGATGTCCCCAGGCACCACCCAGTATAGCTCAATGGGTCAAGGAGGTACGCAAACCGTCGCACCACGTTAAGGTCCAGTCTCGTTGCGATGGGGCGATAGAAGCCGTCTTTCAACGAATCCTTGTTACAGTTTGTGGGTGGACAGGCAGCGATGACGAACAGACACCTAGTAATCCGCGCGACTTCGAACGTTTGAACGAGCCGACCACTCGGACCGCACACATCAGGCTACTGATTGGGATTCAATCAACCAGAGCAGCTTCAGCCCGGGAACTCAGGGCAATACCAACATCGGCTTGGCTGGTACTCGAAGCTGCATCGCCTCCGGATAGGCGCAATGAGACAATACTGCTAGTGTCACCTGAAAGAGATGGCAAGGTGAGCATAGAGCTCGAGTCTTGCAGGTGTTACCGATAAACAGCATACAGCGATCGAGAGGGTCTTTAATGTCTGGACAAATACTGCCTGTTGACCGATCTGTAACAAAGTGCGTTTACTGAGGCATGCCAATGTGAGGGAGAACCGAGGGCTCCAAATGGAAGCCGATGAACTGGGCTTCATCGCTTGGCTGGACATGGGCTTGTCGACAGGATATGAGTGACGCTCCGCGTTTGCATGGGAGTTGAAACTAGGACCTAAACGTCTATCAAAGCAAGGTGAGGGAGGGCCACGAATTAGGCGGTTTAAAACAGGAGGGATGAAAGTGA